CTGGGAGGGGCGCATGGGTCCCTGCGTGCCCAAGGTGTGTGTGTGTGTGGGGGGGAAGGGTGGTCCAGGTGGCACAGCCCTGCCCCGGCCTTCCCACCCCATCCCACATCCTCTCCCATCTCCATCCATCCCATCCCAACTCACTCCATCCCATCCTGTCCCACCCTGTCCCATCCCACACCATCCCATCCTGCCCCATCCCACATCACCTCCATCCACCCCATTCATCCCAGTTCCATCCCGCCCCATTTCATTGCATCCTACCCCATTTCATCCCATCCCATCCCATCCTGCCCCATCCCACCCCATCTCCATCCATCCCACCCCATTCTGTCCCGTCCCATCCCATCCCACACCATCTCCATCCATCCCATCCCACCCAACCCCATACCATACCATAACTATCTCCATCCATCCCATCCCGTCCCATCCCATCTCGTCTCATCTCATCCCATCTCATCCCATCTCCTCTCATCATCTCATTCCACTTCATCCCACCTCATGTCATGTCATCCCCTCCCCTCCCCTCCCCTCCCATTCCATCTCATTCCATCCCATCCCGTCTCGTGTCATCCCATCCCATCCCATCCCGCACCATCTCCATCCTCCCCACCCCATACCACCCCATCCCTCCCCAGCCCAGTCCTGCCCCACTGCAGCCAATTTTAGGCCCCCACTGCCCAGCCCATGCCCTGGGCTAGCAGTGGCCCAAGTTTTGGTGGGGGGGCCACTGGGAAAACCCCAGCCACCATGCTGGGGGTGCTGGGGGTCCCAGGCAGGGTCACTCCCACGCTCCCATCGAGGGCTCTTTATTCCCAGTGTGCACAGAGACTTTGGCACGTCCTGGGGGCAGCGAGGGGCCATGGGGCCGGGGCCACGCTGTCCCCGGGGCTGCAGCGGGACAAGGAGCACCTTGGTGGTGGTGAAGCGGCCCCGGCCGAGTCCCCGGCCCGCCCTGGCCCCCCTCATCTGCCAGGGCAGTAGAGCACGAAGCCATCACGGCTCTTGCTGAAATCGGGGGCAGTCACGTCGGGACGGGTCTCCACGGCCAGCAGCCGCTTGCGGCCACGCACGGCCCGGCTGGGTGCGGGCGGCACCCGAAAAAAAACACGAGCTCACCCACCCGGTTGTCCCCCGCCGGCTGCATCTTGTGCAGGCACACGGCCATGTCGTCGTGGCTCTGCGTGTGGAAGACCACGAGCTGCGCCTGGCAGCTCGTCACGCTCAGCCCCGTTACCTGTGGGCCACGCGCGGGTGTCATGGCCAAGCACGGGCATCCAGGGCCGTGGCATGCCCCGCTGCCCTGGCCCGTGACACTGGGACTCAGGACACCAGGAGCCGGGGATGCAGGGAGCTGGGACACTGGGAGCTGGGACACTGGGACTCAGGACACCAGGAGCCGGGGATGCAGGGAGCTGGGACACTGGGAGCTGGGACACTGGGACTCAGGACACCAGGAGCCGGGGATGCAGGGAGCTGGGACACTGGGAGCTGGGACACTGGGACTCAGGACACCAGGAGCCGGGGATGCGGGGAGCTGGGACACTGGGAGCTGGGACACTGGGACTCAGGACACCAGGAGCCGGGGATGCAGGGAGCTGGGACACTGGGAGCTGGGACGCCGGGACCCAGGACACCAGGCGCCAGGGATACAGGTCGCTAGGACATCGGGACACCAGAAGCTGGGACAATGGCGCTCAGGACACCAGGAGCCAGGGATGCAGGGAGCTGGGACACCGGGACACTGGGAGCTGGGACACCAGGACCCAGAACACAAGGAGCTGGGGATACAGGGTGCTGGGACATTGGGACGCCAGGACCTAGGACACCAGGAGCCAGGGATACAGAGACCTGGGACACTGGGACACTGGGAACTGGGACACTGGGACACCAGGAGCTAGGGACCCCAGGAACCTGGGAGCAAGGACACAGGGACCTGGGACACTGGGAGCTGGGATGCAGGGAATTGGGACAGCAGGACAGCAGGAGCCAGGCACCCAGGAGCTGGGACTCTGGGAGCCGGGGACCCCAGGGAGCTGGAAGCTGGGACACAGGGACCTGGGACATTGGGAGTCAGGACACCAGGGGCCAGGATACAGGGACCTGGGACAGCAGGACATCAGAAGCCAGGGACTCCAGGGACCCAGGAGCTGGGACACTGGGAGGCAGGGACACTGGGACCTGGGTGCCAGGGACAGAGGGACACCAGGACACCAGGATGTAGGGATCTGGCACACTGGGAGCCCAGGGACCTGGGAGCCAGGACACCGATTGCTGAGGACCCCTGGGACGTGGGACACCAGGATATCAGGATTCAGGACACAGGGACACTAGGAGCCAGGGACAGAGGGACACCAGGACACCAGGAGCCAGGGACCCCAGGGACCCAGGAGCTGGGACACAGGGACCCGGGAGCCGGGACATCAGGAAACAGGGACCCGAGACACTGGAACATCAGCAGCAAGAGACCCCAGCGAGCCAGGTCTCAGGGACGGGGGACACAGGGGACACCAGGAGCCAGGGACCCCGGCAGCTGGGGACCCGGATGTGGAGCCAGGCGTGGGCGTCCACGGCAGGGTGCGGGGCCACGGCTCACCACGCTGAGCGGCAGCGCCCGCATCACCCGGTACTGGTGGCGCGGGTCGAGCTTGTAGAGGTGCTGGTCAGTAAGCAGGATGGCCCGGTCGCAGCTCTTGTTGAAGCGGTTGATCTGGG